TTGCTTTTATATAGCGCATATCCATGCTCAAGAGCATGCTGTATGCGCTTTACAACTGTTATTACCCCAGCAGACCCTCTGAGAACACCCAGAAACATTCTCGGCTTCCACGGAAGCATACAGTGCAAGCTGCGAATTTCACACGCTCAAGCACTATCAAACTGATAAGATCGTTCACTGTCTATAGCAGGGTACCCATTTCCAACTGGGTGAAGTGGGAAAAATTTGTGCAAAGTGCCTTTCCCAAGAACACAACGTCGGGCCCCTGACGGGATTCGAACCCGCGACCTTAAGATTGCGAGTCCGAGAGCCTAACCACGAGGCCACCGTTGCCACAAGCCATATTAATAGCGCCTGGAGCTGGCTGCTTTGTTTTTGCACTGCAAGCATAGATATACTGTACATACATGGACAAATGGTAATGAAGGTCGCGAAATAGAATGGTTTGTATAATAATCAATATTTATCAATAGTTCATAGATGCATTATGATACCTTGAACATTTTCAGTCTTGCTGAAATATATACATATTTATACACATAATATCCTTCCCCTTCGACCTTTACTGGTTAACAATAATACAATACATGCACTAGCGGAAATCATTGCTAAAAACTAAAACACTGAATTCCCATATAACATAATATTTCTATCAACAGCTTTGCGGATAGGCACTTTGTTGCTTATATATACAGAGAGGGAGAGAAAGAGAGAGAGAGAAAGAACACGACAGACGAAAGAGAGAGACAGACAGAAAGAGAAGAGAGAGAGAGAGAGAGAGAGAGAGAGAGAGAGAGAGAGAGAGAAAGAAAGATACAGACAGACAGACAGACAGACAAACAGACAGACAGACAGACAGACAGACAGAGACATAGATAGAGACAAAGACAAAGACAGAGACAGAGACAGAGACAGATAACGAACACAACATTCATTCATTCATCGTATAACGGAAATTGCACCCCCCCTCCCCCCAACCCCCCCCCCAAAAAAAATTTAAGTCCAACCAAACCTTCATGCTGGAGCACCGGCTCTGAGACCAGCTGGTCCCCGATGGTGCCCAGAAGCTTGTCCAGGCAGCAGTCTCCTCGCACGAAGCAGTAGTCGTCACAGTAGCAGAACTCGCAGAAGGAACACAGGAGCTGCATACGACCGTCACAAGATCTCGGAGATGAACAGAATTCTTCCTCAAGCTGTAGCAAAGAATCACTGACGTCACGCCAGCGCAAGGTGTTGAAGTCCGCGCCTTCCGGGGTCAAGGTAGGTTGAATTGATAGTTTGTCCTGAGCGAGAACTCTAGCGGCAAGAATGTTTAGAACAAAAATAATCCCACCAAAGTATTTGTACGACCGGTCACTTGGTGAGCATGATACTGATTTTTGCTGTTCCGTAAGAGTCATTATGCCTGGGACTGGGGAGAATTGTACCAAAAAAAGTAAAGCATAATTATTCAAAATCTTACATTGATAAGGCAAAATCTTATATTGATAAGGCAAAATCTTACATTGATGTCTAGTCTAATTTGGCTAAAACTGAAACGGTATCAGTATCCAATTCAATATAAGATCATAACATGCATGAACATACGTGTCACGACGTGCTGGAATCTGGCGCTCGTCAGATTTTAGGCATATGGGGTCATTGGTATCATCTTAAAGCCTGTTCATTTGTCTTGCTTTGGGTGAAGAAAAATCAGTCTATGTTGAATAGAAGTCACGATATATGCGACTGAAGGAGGTGGAGGTCGCCTTCTTTCAGAGGTGAAATTAGCGAGTAAATAGCCACCAAAAATTTGGTAATTTTTATAGTTTGAAAGTCCTTGGACACTGAAAATTTACAGTTTTTGTGCCTTTAATCAACTTTTTAAAAAATAAAATGAACACGGAAAATGTGTTTTTAAATGGACACAAAAAGTGTAGAGCCAAAAAACAAAATTAGAAAAATTTACCCGAAAGCTAGAAAAAATGCCAGTTTCTTCGATTTCATTATTTTGACGAGCGCCAGATTTCACCACGATTCCTCACATATTATAATATTATATGTATATATATAAGATATAAATTATAATAAATCGTTTATTCGTAGTAGTAGTAGTAGTAGTAGTAGTAGTAGTAGTAGTAGTAGTAGTAGTAGTAGTAGTAGTAGTAGTAGTAGTAGTAGTAGTGTCGTAATTATTACTATAATCATGATGCTGCCCAGACCAATGACAGGATGGTCAAGTAAAACACCATATTATATATTATTATATTATTATTATTATTATTATGTTTCACAACATGGTAGAATCCTGCGCACGTCAATTTTGGGGCATTTTGGTGTATTGGTATTATTTGTCTTGCTTTTGATGAAAAAATATACATCGATCTTGATAGAAGTAGAGATATTAGCGATTGAACGAGGCGGCGTCAATTTTTGTTTGAGGGGAAAATTATCGAGAAAATGTCCGTCAAAAAGTGGTGATTTCAAGAGCTTAAGAGTCCTTGTAAACTTTATATTTACTCATTTTGTACCTTTGATCAATATTTTTCCAATAAAATCCACATAGAAAGTATTTTTAAATGGACATAAAAGATGTTGAGCCCAAATTTAAAAAACAAAACTATAAAAAAAATTGCCAAAGGGGCGAAAAATGCTGTTTTCTTCCATTTTAATATTTTGACAACCGATGCAAACATTCCAGCAGTACGCGCAGTTTGATGAAACAGAGATTTGCGCCTCCAAATAATTGTTTTACTTGTTTTTCTTTAAATCAAGCAAAATCCTTGCTTGAAAATGAAAGGAAAACAAAACAAAACAAAACAACAAAACAAAGGGAAAAAACCAAATCCAAAACAGAACAAAACCAATCAAAACGAAACTAAACAACAAGAAACATCTCTAGTTTAGTACAACTTACTTCTTCCTTCAGCTTAAGCAGTTCTATCTGTCCTCTGTCTAGAGTAAAAAGAAATGCACACAGTAATAATATATGTGTCACGACAAAGTGGAATCAGGTCCTCGTCAATTTTGGGTCATGTAGAGTTATTGGTATCATCTTAAAGCTTATTCACTTGTCTTTATTTGGATGAAAAAATATCCATTTATCTTGAATACAAGTCGAAATATTTGTGAATGAAGGAGGTGGAGGTCACCTGGTTTCAGAAGTAAAATAAGTGAGAAGATGGTCCCCAAATATTAGTTTTTTCCTTTGCTTGAGAGTCCGTGGGAAAAAAAGAAAAGTTATATTCTTTCAGCCTTTAATCAACGTTTTTCAGTTTAAAAAATCAACAAACAAATGTGTTCTTTACAGGGCATGAAATGTGTTGAGCCAAAAAAAACAACAACCCATAACAAATTAACAAACCTGCAGAAAAATGCTGATTTTTTCACTTTGATTATTTTGACCAGAGCCTGATTTCACCACGCTGCCTCACAGATATTAGTTTGTTCACTGCTGATACAACAACGCTTTGCACTTAAGCATACTATTATCCTTGGTGCAATACTGCTCGTAATACTCACATAATACAAAGGACAGCCACTCATAATTGTGAAGCTGAAACATTTAACCCTATCCGTTCGTCGTGTTTTACTATCGTATCCATTCGACGTGGGGAACTCAGTGCCACCGCTTTCCAAAGAGGAATAAATTTACTCGGTAATCTGATTCGTACACTTTGCATAGCCGTCTGTCAAAATGACTTTTTGAGAACTACTGAAAGTTTCAAAGCGATCTTCGTACTAGAAGTATTCTAAAATGTGAAAAATACAACCCTGTGGGTACAAAATGACCCCAGGGCGTACGGATAGGGTTAAAAGCATGTGAAGAAGGAAGTGGTTGAGCGGATACAGTTGGAAAGGGGGGCAGTGGAGGAGGTGGGGGGGGCAGTGGAGGAGGTTTCGGTGGGGTGGGGGTCGGATGGAGATTTGTCTCTAGCAAAGAGGTGGCAAGCTAGAGTAGACTCTACACTTAAGTCCAGCTTTCGGATGTTTGCATGCTTTGCACAATGATTAGAAACAATGAGAGTCTGTTGATGTGACGTGAGTTGTCAGCTAGCTGTCTTAACAATGGCTTGTACATTTTTGCGGGGCGGGGGGGGGGGGGGAGTCTCGTGGCCTAGAGGTTAGGGTGTTGGCCTCTCATTCAAAGGTCCCAGGTTCGAATGCGGGTAGAGACCGAAATATTCTTTTCTAAAATTGTTTCCTTTCACCTCCTTTCCTGCTGTCTAGCAACATTCTGTTATCTGCTTTCGTCTCCACTTTTTACCCTCACTCCCTCACCTCCTTTGCCCCCTACTCTTGGCTCCTAACTTTTTCAGCAGCCTTTCTAATGCTACTCCTTGGCTCCTTCTTACTGCTGTCTTTCAGCCACACCCCATATCCTCTGGTAGGAGAGATCTACACCCAGCCTTCTCGGACAAGTGCGAAAGATCTCTGAGGTCCCGTGTGCAAAATTCAAAATGTTTAATGTGTCCTGCGCGCTCGTATGACCTTATGCAGTTGTGAGCGCCGTAAAGCACTTTCCGAAAAGAAATTTAAAAAATTGGCACCGTGAGCTCTTCTAGGTGTGCACTTTTTTATAAACCATCTGGCACAAGGCTTTTGTCAGAATGAGCATAGATGTGTGTTGCTCTTTAGAGTATGTATCTATGTATAACTCCAAAGGTCTTGTAGTGGGTGGTTGTCGGGTGCTCTGGTGTGGTTTGCTTCTTCTTTCCTATCAAACATCTATCATCCTTATCTCCCCTTCTTCTTTTTTATGTTTGTTACTCTCTTGTAAAACCTCTAATCTTTTGGCGCTCATCTTATCTTATCTTATCTTATCTTATCTTATCTTATTACTAAAGAACGTCGTTGTTTTCATGCGCCCTATTCCCTGGATACTCGCGACTTCTGGGTATTTGTAAAGAATTGTATAAAATTCCTTCTCCAACCGTTTGTTTACTCTAGAAAGAGTTTTACGGCGCCCGCAACTATGCAAGATCACATGATCGCACTTATCTTATCTTATCTTATCTTATCTTATCTTATCTTATCTTATCTTATCTTATCTTATCTTATCTCATCTTATTACTAAAGAATGTCGTTGTTTTCATGCGCCCTATTCCCTGGATACTCGCGACTTCTGGGTATTTGTAAAGAATTGTATAATATTCCTTCTCCAACCGTTTGTTTACTCTAGTAATAGTTTTACCGCGCCCGCAACTATGCAAGGTCACATGATCGCACGAAATACAACTTGGTTGTGTAACATATCTGTGTTACATGAGCAATAACTGTGTTTGGTTCACTAACGTTAATTGCCGTAGTTATGTCTCCTTGTTTGAATGTATTAATTTGTCACTCTTCAGGATGAACAATAAAAAGTTACTAGCTGGGCCCCCTTTCGATGAAAGGAATGATCGGTGCACTAACGTCAGCCGAAAGTCATTGGCTTATGATATTTACATTCTACTGGAATGAAGCAATAAATCTTGAGAGATGCAAAAATTAGAAGGTTTAGATCTATACTCTCAGAACAGTGCGCACGGTTAGTGAACGGAAACCTCCTTTTCTAAAATTACAGAGACACAAGCGTCGGCTTACAAAAGCAATTGGCGAAATCTGATCTGGAGAATATTTTAAAGAATCTTTTGGCGGAAACCGGATGTCGATCGATGCAGCCATTAAAAAGCCTTTTGAATAACAAAATTCGGCCACCACAAATAGATAATAGATGATTCAGTAGTGTCATAAATATCCAAAAGGTCGGTTGCTGATCTCTGTGTACGGTTGTTGTGCTGGACTATCCGTGGGTATCTAAATTATAATGAGGCATCACAGCTGTTTTCATGACGGACAGTACACGGCACGGATTTGGTTGAGTCAGTACTCTTGACATCTGTTTAGACAAGTGGGAATCATGATACATATAACTGAACGAGATGTATAAGAAAAATCATCAGCTTACAATAATACAAAAAAGACTACATAACGGCAAAAAGAGAGTCTTCAAATCGTCGCTTTTAATGACAAGCGAGCTAACCCAGATTTGGGGGGTTTCCAGAAATCTTGACCTACACCTCAAGTCAGCATCGCCCTACCTATAGAAGAAGTTTGGTTTCATTGGTGTATATATTTGTTTAGTTATAGAGACAACTCTCCTTGTCTTTTAAGGGCTGGTGGAGCACCTAGAAATCGTGTTTGGGGGTCAAATTTTGTAAATTGGGTTTATTACATATTATAGTACCTGGACACTTCCTGAACAATATCCAGAAACGTATGTAAGCCTTGCTACACCATGAAGCTGTGTTTTTTTGTCAGGTTTTTCGGCGAAAGCACATGTTGTCTAGCCTTTTCTTACCTGTATCGGCTGTTTTCTCACAATTCTATTTTTTCACATATTATCCCATTTTTCTACTCTGTTTCTTATTCAATTTTAATTTAACTTTCACAGAATACCAACAACACCTAGTTCTAAATTTTGGCTTGTTGAATTTTTGATTAATGGAGTAGTTTTTTTGTTTACGGGCTTAGAAAGCATGAATTTTCTATTTGTTTTCACTTTTTTGCAACATCTCAATTGAAAATGTCATAAAATAAAAACTAAAGCATAATATATAAAAAAATTCAACAACCCAAATTTAAGAGCTACATACGTACTGTTGGCATGCCAAATTAGAAGTGAATCTGTTGATAAATAAGGAAATAAAATGGGATTGAAAAAAGTATACAAATCCAATATGACCGCCGTTTCCATAGCAACCTATTCACAATATCCAGTTTCAACTATTGATTTAAAATCTCCAATAACACACGATGTCCCACAGCAAATATCGGCACTCTAGGCCTTGTAATAGCCAAAATAGACCTCAGGTGCCCCACCAGTCCTTAAAGAAACTGAACAAGGGGCAACAACTTTACCTTTTATTTTCTCAATACATGATTTTGCGGGATATCTCCCTTGGGTTTAAAAGTAAAGCAACCAATAAATAAGCAAAGGAAAACCGTTGGAAGATCTATGGAGACCAACTGACATTTCCCGACGGTTGTTTTTACATAATGATATTTAATATGTAAGAATAAGCTACAGGAATTGTATAAAAATCTAAAAAGGCACCTGAACATGGATTGCTGGTGCCTCTATAAATGAATTATTGATGGTCAAGAATTCAACAAAAGTGTCCGTTCCAAGAGACTAAGGGATGCGTCATATTACCCAGTACCACGTCATAATTGTGGAAAC